TCTGAAAGTAATTCCTTGTAGTAAACTAGCTGAGTCAATAAGATTCAGTAAGAATTTTTTTTTAATCAGAAGAAACTTAGGAAATCAATTTGCTTCATTCAAACTTTTAAAACAGCTAACTAAGTTCTGGTCATTAAAAACCCACATATACACAAATGGAAAACAATCTCGTTTCAGTAATAATTAAATGTGCAATGTAATTTTTTCCTCCATATATTTCTTTAAATGTGTTAACTTACTATCAGTGTCAATGCTATATTATTTTCAGTTGAACTGAATGACTCAAGTCTATTAAAATGTACCTGCCAGTTTTTATCATTAATCAAAACAGATCCTTCTCTAATAGAACAGTTTTATTAAACTAGGCCAGGGGTTACCAAGATCCAGTCGTGTCATACAGGGCTCCCAACTGGTCCAGAAATTTGGCAGTGTGGCAAGCAGGGACAGTGTTAATTGCCATGGCTCTTGCAATTAATAGCAATTAACAATACTGCTTGTCCTCCCACCAAATTTCCAGATCTGTGGACAGCCCATCAGGCTGGCTCCAGAGCATGGAGCTGCATCATTTAGTCAGCTGGGAAGGAAATTGATAGTGGAAGAAGTGGCAGCTACCACAGTTTCAGGAGCTGCAACAGTTAAAGCTGCCAAATTCCAGCCCCGAGGCCCAGGTGACATTCCCATGGTTTGGGCCTGCACTGTGGATCCATCCCATGGAGCCAAATGAATCAGACACAACTGAATTAGGTAGTTCAGGCTCTGCTAAGAGTTAGAATTCAGGTCATCCATTTAAATTTAGAGTCCAGATGGCTGTAAAATGGAGAAAACAGAAATAATAATTTAGACCTTAACAAGTTCTTCCCAAAAAATTAAAGTATTCAAGGTATCTGAATACTACAAATAGAAAAGTAGCAGTCATCTTAAACTGAAATATAACACAGATAAAGGCAGAAACATTTTAAAGCAAAATAATAAGCTAATTTGGGTTAAAAAACAAAAATTACAGAACAGGTGGGAAACTTGTTTACTGGTCACTGCAAAGGATGAGTACTTTTATTCCACACTTTGACTGTGACCTTGAGCAAGCTACTTAACATTCCCCTATATATTTACCTGCATTTTACATTTGTAAAAGTGTGGTTAACACCACCTACTTCACAGCAAAATAGCATTTCATATCAATATAGAAGTGCAACTGCAAATTCTTTGCTTTTCTGAGAGCTGCCCTCTTAGCACAAGTAGCTGTTGTATTATTCTAGACCAAGAAATGTTTAATCTGCTCTGTCCTCAGATCTATACCAAAGTTTTCACCACCCATTTTCACTCCATATGGAAAAGGCTTCCTCATCTTAACTGTGCTGGGGGAAAAAGAAAGAAGAAAAACTACTAACTGAAAAAAGGGAAGGAAAGTGAATTTTATACAATCAAGGTAAAGAAAAAGAAAACAACTCTCTTCTACAAGTAACTATGCTATCCAGCAGTTTCAAGATATGTATGGCAACTTGTGGTATCCACAGAGAGAATTCTGCCAATTTTAAATGGAATTTTTATGGTAGGCGGGACATGTGGGACGAGCCTGAAAAGGAACCAAAAAGCTATTCACGTAAGACCATTCTTCATCCTGTTATGAAAGAATATGATGTTGTATAAAACTTTATAACAGATTGCCTGGAGTAGCTTATCATCCAACTGGACAAATAACAGCAAATTTGATGTCATGGTTTATTATGGATTAGATTAACACTAATTTAACCAACAATGGCATTGGCCTAATATTTCTTCCTCAGATAAGCTACAACTGATCTGTCAAAAAGTTACTACAGTCTTAAAAACAATAAAGTCTGGGGGAAAAAACTAGGCATTTTAAAATATTCAACTAACAATCCAATCTGCCTTGTCCAGTTAAGTGAAATTTCAAAGTAGGTATCTAAAACTTAATCTTAAAATCCATTTTGTGTGAAACATTGAGATTGTCAGGTATAAAAGGTGCTAGATTTTAAAATACTCCACTGCACTCTGTTTGTATTAAAGGAATGCTTCTTTGTTCATTAAGGTATTAGTTTTATTCTGAAGGTTGATTCAGTGTTTAATAAAATATTGTATATGATTAATATTTCATTTCAATTGATCCAAAGGTCTGGAATAAGGTATGAAAATATGAAAAATAAGGATAAAGTTTCTAACCAATTTAAGCTTAAATCCCTGCAGCTGTCTTCGCCCAATAATGTGATTTTTAAGGAGGAGTTTTTTGTTTTGTTTTTAAGATGAGAAGTATTATAGATCTCATCCTACTTACTCTTCGACAATACTTGTATTGCCTTCACTGAGATAGTTAGGTGAAATGAACAGTACTTGAACAGTGCATGACTGCTTTCAGTTCAAACAAATGAGGAAAAAAGAAAGGTGGTGTTTCCTTTTATAAAATTTTGGAAGCCTCCAGACAGGTAAGTAATCTCCAAAAAACTGAACACCTAAAATTAAAATAGGAATGTGCCACAGAAAGGATAAGATATTGCCAGCCAAATTCACCAAAATTTCAAATTTCCAAATCCCAGCAACATTTTTAAAAGTATCTCTCTTCTTGCTCCCTTGTTCAGCCAACACAAACCTCAGATTAACCTTCTTTTTCAAATGTGAAAGTCTAAAGAAAAGCAATAGCTGAAGGAAAACCTAAGTAGCAGGAATTTAACAAGGGCAGTTCAAATTCTTCTAATCCTAGAAGCACCGAACATTAAAGTAAAAGAAGCAAATGTCTGAAAGCAGTTTTGGCAGCATCTCTAGAACAAAGTATCAGCAGCTTACAACATCTCAAAACTCTTGCTCGGCTCAGCAGCATTTCAGATGTCTGGAGGCTCCTCCCCAATTTCATTTGTTAAACTGTTTTGAAAGAAATAACTCCCACTCAGCTGTTTATTCAGCCACAGATTGCAGCAGTGTAATTTGTATCTCTGGAAGGTATCCCTGTAACAGCATTCATGATGCTAGGAAATATTTAAAAGTCTCAAATACCCAGAAAACCTCAAGCTCTGTATTTCTACCCCTCGTTGTACAGAAAAAGCAAAATACCTGTATATAGGTTTCCAAGTTCTTTCCTGCAAAGCTACTCTATTTTTCTCTCTATAGAAGATTCACTTGCATAAGAGGAAGTAAGGGTCCTCCTTCTTTAGTTCAAGAAGTTCAATTTTCCATATCAGTCATTCCAAAAAAAATGAGTAACAGTATTACAAATGTATCAGCAAAATTTGGCCTGATACTCTAACCCCTCTCATTTCTGCAACATACAATGCACAAACACAAAATATATAGATTATTGCTCATCATACCACAATCTAGCCAAACTACCCTCCTTAAAGAATGGGATCCGATAAAGTACAATAAAGTCTAATTTTTTTCTGCCTTCATGAAAAAACTGTTTCCCACTCAGATAATAGAAGCTGAAACTAAAAGTCTTGCTGCAAAAAGACAAAACTTTGGAATAAACCTGCTACTAAAAAGGCCTAGAAAAGTAGTAGATAGTGTTGATGACTGAGGCAGCACAGAAAGACCTGAGTCATGGAAATGGGATATATGATGGCATGAATGAAGTAAGAAGAGATCAGTAAGAATACTCTCTAATCTGGGACTGCATATATAGCCACATGATGGGAGAAGAGAATTCAGTCAAAGGAATGTAGGGAATTGAGAGTTGAAGAACCCTAGCATGTAGGAGGGGGTAAAACTGAGAGTCTAAGTAGGGGGAAGTGTGACATACAGCTCAGTAGTTGACCGTAAAGCCATTTAAGACACTGCCAAAAAAGCCCACACCCTTTATGCTCCTAGGGGCCTCAAAAAAACTCTGAAGTCTTCTTAACTGATATGACACCCTCTTTTAGGATAATGGCATAAACACATTCCATATATAAAAATGTCATGTATAAAGAAATCCTAGAAAGAAGTGATCAAGCTTCCTACACACCACATTAACCTGATTTCTAGTTTCCTTTCTTGTACTTGTCATTTTGAGAAATTCTAACTAGCCTCTAACATAGTAATATCTTTTATTTCAATGTCCTATTATACAATCTAATTATTTTTATTTATCACTCCATGCCTGAAATAGCTTTTCCTTTATATTCTTTCTAGAACTCCTTAGCTAACCATTGAAAAGTGAACTCACTTTAGGAACGTTACAAAGTATTTTCAAAATACTTTATATATAGATCCCTAAACATTTGCCAAGAACATATATATATATATCTTGCTGTTGGAAAACTTTCCAATCAAATTCACTCAAAAGATAGCATTCTACTTGCTTCTGGTCATTTATGCAGCAAACCAGGATAATGCTTGACCTGTGTTGTTAGTGATGACAGCACTGTGCTGGAAAGTCAGAAAGATACAAGTTCAAACCCCTTCTGGGCAAAGGCACCTGGAACCTGAGTCTCCCGCTTCCCAGCTGAGTTCAGTTACTAGAGAGAGCCCTGTTCCTCCTCCTGAGTCTAACCCACTTTTGGGCTGCCTACATTTTTGGCACCAATTTTAGTCTGCATCTCCAAAGGGTACACACACAAAGGCAACCAGAATCTAGTCTACTGAGCATGCTTATTCTACATGCATAACGCATATGTTCATACACTCATCCACACTGTTGGAAAACAGAACCCTACCTGCATGTAAATACCAAAAATGCTATATCAATGATTAAAAAACCGCCACCGAGACAACCCAAGAAAAGAGAATTCCACCCTTGTGAAATGTTTTCAATATAAAAATCTCAATAGCAAAACCTATTTTTAAAAGTATATGAGATATCAGGTCAAATGCTAATGTCATTCTGCCAGTTTTTTCAGTTTGTTGCAACTAACACCCAAGAATCAAACATGTTATAAAACATCAAAGTTCAGTAATTCATGACACACGTATTTTATTTTAAGAGACCTTTCCAATGGGAAACACTTAAAAGTACTACTTTAAATTTGCTTATTTTCAGAATCAGCCGATGGTGGAGGTATATAAACACTTACCGGCCCTCTCAAATCAATGAGTTCCTGTCTCATTTGGGACACAAGAGCTTCTTTAGCCATCAGAGCACGGTGAAGTCTCTCATTGAATTCTATAAGCTCCCCATGCATTTCTGCCACCTGAAAGACATAGAACCAAAATTTCAGGTGAAGAGAATAGAAATTCTGACGTGAAGATACTTCACTCTGAACTGAAAAAGATCAGCAATATAGTTAATGTCCATGGTATTATAAAGTAAAAAATATGAGAGATTTCCATGTTTCCCGGACCATCATGGTTGCATCATTCCAATACTACCAAAGTAAAAAATACATGCTTTCCAGTTAATGCACAGTATTGTCAATGCAATAGTTTGGATAGTGATATTACACTGTTACAATGAATAAACTCAATTTGACTCATCCTGTATTGCTTTCTCAATATAAGAGCACTCAAAAGTAATGGATTAACAACACTATTTGAATTAAGAATGGTGCAGACAGGGAACCTACGTACAGCTCTGCCAATAGTACATCCACTTCTATCCCGCAGTGGAACCCTCATTTGATATCCTCATGAACAAACCCGTTTTGGAGAATACATGCCGAAAAATCATTCGGATAGCTGAAATAATTTGGATGAAGGAATCCACAACATCTTGGGGAGAATTATACCCACTAACACACAAAGCAAAATAAATCATACCAAGCATATATATAATGCAGAAATACCTAAGAGAAAACAGCTTGTTATAGAATACTAACAGTTACAAATTAGAAAATAAAGCTGCTGTTCCATTAAGAGAAAATGTTCTATTAACTGAAGAGGGATTGTATCTTGTTCTCATGTCATAGTTCAGCAAAAACTGTTAAAGCATCCCAAGTTACGTATCGTTCAAATTCTAGAATTTTACACCTACAAAGTTATTTTGATACATAATTTTAAAAGCTATTTTTAAGTCAGAACTTTGTAAAGGTCTACACCAGGGATCAGCAATCTATAGCTCCCAGGCAGGTTCTGGCTGGCAAAGAGGCTGCATCCAGCCCCAGAGGCTGCATCCACACATGGTATGGACATTTGGTTCCTTGAGGACAACTACCAGCAGCGCAGTCTGCACTGCTGCTAATTGTCCCCGGGAACACCTGTGCCATACATGCTCTGGTGCACAGCAAGTTACCCTGAGAAGGTAGGCACTGGGCTGGCCCCTGCAGCCTTACCTGGGCTCCTGGGGCTGTAGCAGCAGCAATTCTGCCACGCAGAGCCTGGCCAGCAGCTGCAACACAGGTCCAGGTAGCTCGACTCTGCTTTCAAGTGGCAAGCACTACCCCCCCCGTATGCATCACTGGGTTTTTTTCTCTGCAGGCTTTTCTGACCCCTGCAGAGAAAAACTGAACATGTGCTGCAGCACCACATACCGCATGGCCATGCTTGTCTGGAAGTGGCCAGAAAGTCTGACCCACTCAGGGGTGGCATTGGTGATAGGGAGGCATGGGTGGGTGTGGCAAAGCACTGTTGGTGCCTGCCACTTTAAGGACTGGAGCTGACAGCAGCCAGGTGCTTGACTGCAGTGGCCATTTTGAGATACAGGCTATATAGGGGAAGCAGCAGTTTGCTGCTGCCCCACCGGGAGAGAGAGATCAGCTGGCAGAGCTGAGGCCAAGAACACCTTGCAGATCTATGGGATCTATGGGGATGGAGGAGGCTCCTGGGCATGACCTAAAACTGCACCCTGCCAGGGCATGACCTAAAACTGCACCCTGCCAAGGTAGGGAGGCCTGGTGGGGCTGCTGATGGCACAGCAGCCCTATGAAATGCCAGGCCCACAAATCTCCCTGGTGAAAGGTGGGTAGGGGGCACCTAATAACCTCCTAATAACCTAATAACTTCCAGCCCCCACACAGTCCTGGCTGGTTGTGAGCAGGATAGTCAATCTTATCCTCATCTCTCCTTTATACTCGCCTGCCACAACTTAGATGGAAGAAAAAAAAAAGGAGGTTACTGTTTTATTGTTGTTCCTGGATAGAAGAATGCCACCCTGATGCCAACTGCTCACAGTGTAAGTTTTATTTCCAGCTTCAGTGATAAGATAGCAACATCCTTGCCAATTACTCCACTGGCAAAGGTGATTGGTATTACAATCGGGAAACACTCAGTCTTGGCACTTAATAAGGATTCTTTGCCACTAATTATCTCATTAGCGGCATGCACTCTCTGCGTTCCTCACTCTTCGTGAGTGCACGATCCAGGGAGTAGTCTTCTAGCTACTCCCTCTCATAATCTTTTCCCTGCTCCCAGCTTCCACTATCCACCTGGGCTCTAGCCTTGGGGAGAACCCCAATCTCCCCTTTTTCTCACTGAGGGGCGCGGTCCCATCTTCTTAGGAGTCCTAGCGGATCCACTGCCTGGCATTTCTGTCTTTTCCCACACTCACCGGCACAGCTGAGTTAACAGGTGAGACAACCCCCTTTGCTGCTGTCCTGCCACATCCCTCAGGGATCCACTGCCTGGTGTCTCCGTTTTTTTCCTTTTTCTACGCTCATCAGGACAGTGGGACTCCCGGGAAGTTAATCCTTTCCACTACTGACTTACTGCATACTTCAGGGCTTCGCTCATCCCAGAGCTCATCTATATCTCTGGTAAGTCTTCTTCTCTCTCTCCGGGGCTTCATCACTCCTCACTTCTTCTGGTACCGGAAGGCAAAAATCAATGCTCTCCTGCCATCTTTTATCTCCTGGTTTTCGTGGGCTAATCACCTGAACTTTTCCCGGGTGTGTAATGTCCACCACCTAGCAGACTTCATCATCGGGTCAATCCTGCCTGACTCTGTCTAAGTAACAGGGTTCCTGCCTGAGTCCCTGTTACACTGGCGGATGCCCAGACCTGGAAGAGCTTCAAGAGGCCTGTGGGTCAGTTGTTCCAGTGGAGTTGGGAGGGTAAAAGCAGCCAAGCAGCTTAGACCTGACCCAAGGGACCTTGACTAATCCATGCTGGGGCAAGGACCCAGGGAGGAGTCGAAGGGCCAAGGGCCCAATGCGAGGGATGCCCAAAGAGCAAGAGGCTCGGGATCCCGACTGGCCTAAGATGGGGCCAGGGCCTAAGGAGGAGCCGAAGGTCCCAGAGAGGGGACCACAGCTAATGGGGTGAAGGGTATGGCTGAGTTTAGCTGCCTGGGATGCCATCTGCGAGGACTGAGCTGCAGTGCAGGGGTGGAATGGAGCTGCATATATTCCCCTAAACATCAGGGTTCAAAATGGGCAGCCTCCCACCTGATTAACATCTTACTACTTTGCTTTGATTAACATCTGCTTTGATTAACATCAAAGCATGGCAGGTAAGTGAGGTGGGTGGCTGGCCCATAGACAGGAGACAGGCCGGTGCTTGCATCAGGTGTGAAAGTTTTCCCTGTCACAGTCAGATTTACAGCCCATGGTAGGAACCAGGTCACAAGCTCTGGCCCATGGGGGCAAAAAGGCTTCCACCCCCCAGTCTACAAAATAACAGGAGACTAAATGTAGTTGCATAGCAATGTACAGAATTGGAATTCTTCTTTTGTTTTGTAGTTATTTACCTTACTTTTTCTCCACCCACTTTACCATCCTTACCTACTAAACACCAGTATGCTTCACCCAACTCCAGAAAGCAGGGAAACAGCTTTTAAGTCACTTAAGACAAGTTGGAGACTGTAGGGCAGAAGTACATACATTTTTGCTGCACCCTCTGTCCAGCTTCAGAGAAAGACGGGAGGGAGGCGGAGTAGAGACTACATAGGAGCAACCTCCACCACCTTATTCCAGCAAAGTTTTCTCCTGCACAAGAAAATTTTTAGGTGGTCAGCTTCAGCCAGAGTCCAGAACAGAGCAGACTGGCCCATAGCATTAACATGACCCACACAAAATGAGCAAACTCTCTATAAAGCAATTCTCCATGCATAGTATACAAGCTACCTTAATGATATTCTGGGCTCATTTTGTTTTCCGAAATGGCACTTTTGTGAATTTATCTTAAACTATAAAGCAGGCCCAAAAAATGAACTATACCTTGGTGGTATAAGAATCACCTTACTGTTATCAGCAAAAGCCAATGTGAATTCTCTCACACTGTGGTTAGAAATTTTACACAACAGAATCACTTATTTATCCAGACAAATTAAACTAAATAATTTAATAGTAGTACTGCAGTATTTTATATCATCTCACAAAGCATTTAGAACTTGTGATATGACTGAGTTATCGCTTCAGTGATGCACTTCTTGAAATAACTTTGCATTAATGAGGTTTGTGTATTTAATCTTATATAAATTGTTTGTGTGTATGCTGCTGCAATTTTAATTTACTGCCTTTGTTTCTGTTCCTGTCTTACTTTTCTGTTTTACTTAATCCCATTAAAGAAGTTCACTTCCAGACTCACTTGATTTAATAATTAGAGACTTCCTGATTAATTACTCTATTCTTCCTTCTTTTGATAAGATCAAAACATTAAGATTTCCATACTAACAATTATGGCATTATGTATTCATACCCCAATTGTTCACTCAACATCAGTCTTGATGAAGAAGTTTAATTTGAAACACTTGTTAGTAATTAGTAAGCTTATTTAGTCAAAATAAAAGATATGTAAAAACACATGAATTTCTGCAGTATAACTAACACAGCATGGTTCCTGCTTCTGCACAAAGCATCTTAAAAATTTTGCCCTATCATTGCTCCTCCACCAATTCCAAGCCAAAGTGGTTGGACTGACATTCACCTCTGCCAAAGATCGTGAAGAGATTATTTTGTTTTTGGACTATTCCTGCATTTCAAAACTTTCAGTACTTTGTGACTATAGAGAATAATCTGTTTAAATTTTCTCAGCATTTTTTGTATTAAAAATTTCTCTGACTCATAAATTTCTCTGACTGGAGATTTCTTTGAAACAGAAGTAAATGATCCAGGAAAATCCAATTAGTTGGACAAAGCATCACTGCTTTTCCAGAAGGCATATGAAAGGCTTGCAGGAAAAGAAGAAGGAAAATCAGACGCATGCATGCATGCATGCATAAAGTTTTCCAAAAGTCTCTTGGAGGTAAATTATTTCAATCAAAATCTGGCTTATGAAAGATATTTTAACACCATTAGCTTGGAGTGAACATTACAGTCTT